ATGGCAGATGAGATTCTGCTGAAACGTTGCTACAACTTTAAAAGAACTACAATGACGTGGGAAAATACCCGAACCAAGCCGAACACCATATATATATATATTTGTCTCTGTTTTTCTTCTGTAAGCTGCCTTGGGAGGATATCTGTCTTCAAGGAGATTTCAAATACATAAATAAAGATTGGCCAAAATTAATTGCCTCTAAGAATTTTCTCAAAGTAATTTGTTTGAAAACAACATTCCAGTCTCTCAAAGATATCAAGGTTAACTCTCACTGGTCTGATATAGCACTTTTGTTTTGACTATCCAGGCCTGCAAAGATTCAGTATTCCTGAATAAAACAAATGTTTGTTTTTGAAACGAGTCCCTTGTAGAGACAGTGCAAGGACAAAAATATTTCAAAAAATTCCATTTTATTTTGGAGAATTGGAGAAACTCACAGCATATCTTTTAAAATGATTTAGTCAAAACAGCATTATGAGCAAATATTTATTGTTGATATTTTCTTCATAATGACCTTTCCAGAAAAATTAAGACAGACCAAACAAATGTGAGCCATCTCTGGAAACGGATTGCTGTTGTGTTTTTGTTAAAATCCGGGGTGTCTTTTACCTGCCTTATTATGGCAGAGAGTTAGAATGGTTAAGAACGCTATCTTTTTCTTGTAGCTTCTTCTGTTTTTGGCCTTGCTGGGAATTTGGCTTTGGTTGTGAGCCAACGTGAGTTAGAAGTGGGAAATGGAAGAACTTTTACAGCTGTTCTTGAGTCAGAGAATGTTTCCATGTTTTAAATCAGTTACTAAAAAGGCATTTTCAAAACAAAAAGAAAACAAAATAGAAAAAGAGAATCTCACAAGGGCTGGTTTGTGAATTAAATAGGCTTGGTTACAAATCATAAAGTTTATTCAGAAATAATGTATTATTACAAAGGACGTGTCAGTCCTGAGAAAGCCGAAACTGAGCAATCCCTATGGACTCCTGAACCTTATTTGGCCACACAAGCTGGCAGATTTCTTATACAGCAATGGATCAGGGTTAACTTCCTGCCTTCAAATCGGAGAAAATAAACTATGGTTGCCTGGATTTCTGAAATAATTAAGAATAACTACAGATACTTTCTGAGTCATTAGGAGAGACAGACAGGATTTGCAAAGTAAAACATTCATGGCAAGGCTGTGACTTTTTGGAACTTTTAGAAGGGATAGCTTAATTATACAATCTACATAATCTTATAATGGATGGTTGTAAGAAATCCCTCATTAGGAAGCCCCAGAAATCTTACTGCCCGGGTGGTTCAAATAATACATGTGAAGCCAGTTAACATTTCATAGCCAAAACCATCTCATGGGGTTGGGGGTGGGGTTGGAAGGGCATGCTTCCTTGTTTTGTTGGGATTACAGAAAAGTATGAGTTGCCTAAACACATTTACTTCTAGATTATGGACTGTGTGACCATAATCAGTGAAATTCAAGGTGAAAAATCTATGTAATTATCTTCTGCTGGTACATTGCCAAGACAAACTCTACCCATCATTTTCTGCTACGCATCAAAAGTTACATTTTCTGTGTTGTGGCAGTTGAAACACTGATGTTGGGTTTACTTCAGGGGTGAGATTCTACCGGTTCAGCCCAGTTCAGCCCTGTTCAGCTGGTAGCTCTGAAGATCAGCTGAGAGCGAACCGGTTCGCTCTGAAGATCAAGGTATTTCCTTTTTTTCAACCCACCGATCAGCTGTTTTCCAAAGATCATCTGTGCTGCATGATTTAGATTAGCTAGAAAGCAGGAAATCATCAGATTTCTTGCTTTCTAGCTAATTTAAATTGCGTGGCAGAGCTGATTCCACCCCCCTCGCTATTATACTGCTTCGCTCAGGAGACTTTCCTGCAGCCCAGGAGGCAAAAAACGGGGTACAGGGGAGGGTTAGGGTTAGGACACCCTGTTTTTGCTTCCAGGAGGCTTCCCTGAGGCCCAGTAGGCAAACAAAAATAAAATATATTTTTTTCTAGAAGTAACAGTGGTTGCAAGTTGCAGAAAGGTTTGCTTGTTCTCTGTACAGGTAGGAAGAAGTGAGAAAGCAGCAATAGCTCCCAGTGTTAGGATGATCAAGGTGACTTCAGTAAGACATCTTGCTAAGGACTCTCACCCCCAATCTTGCACCTGCCTCTACAACCTGGTATTTAGGACTTGTAGTATTTAGAGGGCATCATGTATGTTAATTTAACTGAAATCCTTAGAAGTAAAACTGGGAGAGCTAAATAGAGATGAAGGAGGGACAATTTCATGGAGGGCTACTTTAATTTTGTGGTGTATAAATGTTATTCCTCATATTCATGAAAGTTTAGCCATGTATTTCTTCCAAACTTCCAAATTGTGCCATGGCTTTGTTGTAAGTAAAAGTATCTCATTTCATACATTTCATTACATTTCTGTTTGATCCCTCCTCTAAGCAGCTCAGAGCACAGATGTGTATATACAGTATATTCAAACAGCAACCCTATTGATAGGGCAAGAAAAGGAAATGGCTAGAACAGTGTTTCCAGACCTTGATAGCTTTCAGATGTGTGGACTCCAATCCCCAGAATTCCCCAGCAGGCCCTGCAACGGGATCCACATATCTGACAGCTGCCAAGCTGCCAGGGCTGAGAAATACTGTGACAGAGCATGATAAATTAGGTAATAAAAGATAATTTTTTAAATTAAGCTTATCGAATCTCAGTGATTCTCAAAGTTAAGAATGTGAAACTGATTAATAGAGGAAATGAGGTGACACTTGCATTCTAAACATAGAACTATGAAACAATTCTTCCTGGTTCCATTTCTAGATGAATAAATAAATAACAGAGGTGAATATCAACTACATAATATCTCTAGGAGAAAAAAAACTGTGACCCTTCTTCTGTTTCCACTTCCTCTTTATGATTCAGCAGTCACTCCACTGAATCATCTTAGTAAACTGCTGCCCATAGGAGTACAGTATATGAGAAATATCAGCCTTTGATATCAGTTCTCAGATATTATTATTATTTGATGTTTGTAGTTTCTTTTTCTTTTTGAAAGT